CGCCTCTAATTGAAAATAAATCTCATTAGTTGAAAACGGCAGAAGCGCAATTTACATCTCTTGTTTGCTATTCTTTTTCTCTTCGTGTTATTGCATTCGCTGGACTAATAATAAATAATTAATTGTTTTATTGTATTTTAAAAAATGTAAATATTATTACAATGTACCTACAATACTATAGAACAATACATAGTATAGTTTATATTTGTTTAATAACCTATATACATATTATAAAACATTCTCGTCCTCTAATATATTGTGTAAATTAATTGTAATAGCTTATTTATTTTAAAAACTTCTTCATAAATGTTAAATCTTAAATTTATTTAATATGTTGTAGATTTATGTAATCATATATATGTAACTTGGTATTACTATGTAACATTATACTATTTGTGCAAATTTATTTTCGCAAAAAGCTATGTACATAACATAGCTGTTTGCGAAAATAATGGATGCATGGTTCAAATTGCTAATTCAATATAGGCTTATATGTTTCCCCAACTTCATATGGATTAATTAATTATATACAAGTACACACTATTATATGGATACTAATGACATTATATTCCAACTATGGTCAACCACAAATATACCTATATTCGTTTCTATGAAGTTTTAGTTCGATACACAATTTAAATCATTTTAATATTATAAACAGGAAAGATTTTTTATATTTATTAGTAATGGATAAATATTTGACTAATTATTATAAAACATTATTTCATTTATATATTTCTGAGCGAATAACATAGACTACATCGATACCACGTGAGCACTTCCGAGAGTTACAGTTAGACAAAAATAAAACTATACCAAAGTAGGTATTTAATTACTGTAGCGATATAAGAATAGGAAAATGTATTCTGAAATTAAATTATGAATCACGATCATGCTTATAACTGAATATGCTGGAACTAAAACAAAGACCGTCTATTTGACCTGAGCCGGATAAAATGAAAGAATGAAATGGGGCCGCCTCCTATAGAAACTATGTTAGCAGATTTTTCTGCCTGCATTAATAAAAAAGAAGCGAGATTCAGTACACTATATTAAAATAATATTTAGACGCCCATCTATATAAATCATCCACGATCTGTAGGTATGTACATATACCCGTATCCATCCACATACCATACGGTTTTATTAAAACTAAAATTTTAAGTATATATGTTTTATTAAAGAAAAATGTTTATAGGTTCATATCACTTTATACTTAAAATTTTACTTTGTTTCATTTCTAGTAAAGGTTTTAGTAAAACCTTTTTAGTATAATATATGTAATATTATATTATCTGTGGTATAATCTGATCACAATCATCAACTTATAAATTCTTGGACCAAATATTTAACAGACCTATTGTTTGGTAGTCCAGTCTTACCTATATAGCCTTACTGTAGAATTTGTATACCTACTTTATATAATCCCGTCAGTTTGTTAGTATGTAGCTATACAATTGTATATAATATTAATTATAACAAAACTGGCTATACCCTCTTAAAAATATGATTTAGTTTAATTTCAGAGATTAAAATCGGAATTATTTTGTAAATTACTAACAAAATTAAAGTTAAACAAAACCTGAATTTGTTATTAGAGTCTCTACTACATGTCTTTATCATAAATTTATACGACCTATAAATTAATAGGTAGCTAAACATTACGTTGCTACATATTATTTTTATGTTCATTCTTTCCATTTCAAACTATACCTATTGCATATAATATTCGAAATTAATTTGATATTCATTATATTTATAGGATACGTGTACCAACATGTTCTAAATAGTATGAATTTTCTTCCAATTATATTAGAATTCCGGTTATTCCTACGGGGATACCATAACTAAATGTCCATTAGAGCGCATGCTAAATGCAGCGATACCTACACAGTCGGACGTCAAATTAATATTTAACACAGTTAGGGAAACCCTCCAACGAGGCATTAATACTCGTATAGCGTGCGAACCTTCACCTGCTACAAGAAATATGCATTATCAGAATAAAAAGCGACCCTTAACAACATTAATATAACCACAGATTGCCAACTTAATGATATAAATATTATGCATTGTTGACATAGTACTCTTGGCACACAAATACAAAATTACCGTTTTACGAGTATAATTACAATAAATATAATAATACTAATATAGTTTCAATTCAATACCTATGTAATACCGTTGGCCTTTATGTTCAAAATCTGAGGGAGTATGTAGGTAAGTACGCTTGGATATAAATCCATTTTAATTAAATAGTTTCTGATGAGAAATTCAATTCATTCGTGTTCATAACGAAGTTATGTGCTACGTAATCTGAATATCAGAAGTTATGTATTTTAGTAAAGCTAACAATCAGCATATCTCTTGTATTTATGCACAATCTCTTGTAAAAGTCCTGGTGTAATAATGTACTCATGATAATAACACAGACATATTATAAGAGTATTATAACAGTTGCGATCTTTGTACCGTGTACCCGTGTACATCTGAAAAGAAACTAGAGAAAATTTAATTTAATATTTCATTGCAACGGAACAAACTAAACGTCGACACACCTTCAATACAATTTCGCCGTATACCATATGTCTGACAGGCTTGTTCTCAAACGAGTAATATGACTGTTCCCATGTATTTTTAAAAACTCATGTAGGCTGTATAAGATTTTTAATGTGTATTATGTATATTTGGAAAACGTATTAAAATTCGAAAAGGAAAGACCTTTTTTAGAAAATTTAATATACTAATAATGATTAAACAATTGGTATATTTTAATAATGTTCATATTTTCAATTAGATATTTTAAAAAACTAGATTTTCGTGCATATAATTACATACGTACGTACGTACCTACATAATTTTTTAGCTAAGATAATTTTTTTGCTAAGGTATCCATTGCGTTTTTGGGAAAACATGTAAAAAAAGTTTTTATTTTGTTTTGGACGCACTGTTTTTGTTGACCATTTTTATGTTTTATCTTTAGTAAAGGAGACAATTACTTTATACATGTATGCAACTATACAAGTTCAACAGCTGGTAACCGGCAGGCTATTTACCTACCAGACTCTATCTGCAGCACTATTGTGAAATACAGACTGCAATCGCCGCCCCGCGCCCTAGGCTGCCCTTCAGACGTATCATTATAAATTAGTTTAATATCGTCTACTAAACTATCTATAAGAATATAAAAGTATTTTTCTATATTTCTATACAGCCACAGAACATTACAGTAACTCTTCAATGTACTGAACTGTTAATTCACACTTCGCGGTAAGTTGAATCTTCATTTGTTAATATGCCAATAACCGTTGCTGATACGAAAGTTGCCGTCGCACGCATTTTTAGAAGTATATTATTATTATAACAAGGGATTGGAAGAGCCACAAGATACGTTTAAAAAATATAAAATTAAACCCACCTTGGAGGGATTTTAGAATTTGTGACATCACATTTTAATTTTAGTATTAAACATGAAACTTTAGCAATTAAAATATAACCAGCAGTGTCATGTTGTACCATATATAGCTGCTATAGCATTTATATATTAAATCACAAGGTGTTACTAGAAGTAACTATAACTTAACTACCTCTTATATTGACAGGAATACCTATAATATAGGTATTCCTATTATATTATACTCGTATATACATATTATGTACATAAGAGTATTTATATTATTACATGTTGCTCTTTTTTAAATATACATAATATTTAAAAAAGAGCAATTAACTGTATTTTTTTTATATATGTTGTATCTTTTTAAATAGTACAAGATTAGCTAAATTATTAGAGTTATGTTACATTCATAAGCTTTCAAATATAGAACTACAAAAAGTATCTATCATTTTTTTTTTAATTACAATCAGATGTCCAGAGTCGGATGGCTGGCAAATTAGCGTTTGGAGCGCAAAATGAAATTTGTCTGTCGCACAAACGAAGGTAATAAAATGCAATCTGCCTTGTTCGTTGACCTGTCGTTGTGTAAACATTCCACTGCCTTGTAAAAAGATTTTTCAATTCCTATTCTATATCACACTTAGGTTAATGGGATGCGTTAACTGTTGTTCAAATTTACCTAAATATAATACTATTGATATCAAGCTCGTCCCGTTTCAGTCCAAAGTTTTAGTCTATTAAAGAAATACGATGAAATGAAATAATGGAAAACTTCTTAGGCCTCTTCATCATTCTTATACTTATTGCTAACGCGAAAGTACCTACCCTATTTAGTCTACATCTATACTTCTATACTAATATTACAAAGCGTTAAAGTTTGTGAGGTTGATGGTGGTTATATCTGCATCTTCTAAACCGATTGTGAAAATCCTTTTATTGTTACATAGGCCATTTATCGAGGAATGTTATAGGCTATAATATCATGCTACGACCAACGCGTGCCGAGTTGCAATTAGGAAATGTTACAAAAACGGGAACAATCCGACGCAGATGCATTTGTGCCAAAATTTCGTATAGTAAAAATAACAAATGCTTATCAAGCATTATTGAAATTTTCATTACGTACTTTTTGTCTTTTATGTTCTATTAATTATACATTTTATTTTTTGATTTTCTGACGATTATATTCCAGATACGTATATTTTAACTTCTATTTTATTCTAATGGATCTTTTTTAGTTATTTTTACTACCATACTTGATATACATTTTAAAACCATAAACTATAAATTGGGCTAAACAAGTTATTCTTTTGTTATAAAATTATAATATTTATTAAAATATCTATTTGTATCCAAGGTACCTAAATAAAAATTTTATTAAAGAATTTCTTCATTTGTATGCCACAGATTCATTATTAGTTGTCACATTCTTATGTATTCATATTAATGCACAAATATATACTATTAACAATAATATTCAATAACATATAAACTAGACGATAATATAAAATAGCCATTACGTGATAACGATGAGAATTCTGAGTTAATGTAGGTATGCGTAGATAACATAGTAAATATACATATTATCAGTAGTTGTGCGAGAGAACGGCCAGTGTACGGAATACTAAAGTATTAATTAGTGAAATGACAATGTATGTCAGTTACATATTGTATTTTATTTATATATTCATTCATATAAAGGCACAAGATGTAGGTGAGTAGTGCAAACTTGTTCACATAAAAGGTGTCTGCTTTTGAATATAAAATTATTTGCAATACCTACCTATTGGTATTAAATTTATTACTACTTCACAGAAATCGTGTCTAATGCATTGGAAAACGTTGATGTAACATTTAAACTGATTGAAGAAGATTTAGAGATTGTTAAATACAAGGTAACATGTATACAGTTTTAGAGGATTTTATAGTTACTAAAATTAATAAAAATTTGATACTAACCTGTTTATTGCAGATACTGAAATCAAAGGAAAACAAAGTGAACATAAAACTTTTTTACGAATGCTTATGTCCGGACTGTCGACAATTCGACAGCAAACAGTTCAAGAATGTTATTGAAAAGTTAACGCCGTATCTCAAAATTCATACATATCCGTATGGAAATGCAAAGGTTTTAGAAATATTACATAATATAATTATAATATTGCATAGGTAAATGTTGTATAGATTTTTTTTATAAAAAATATAAATATGGTTATAAAGTATAAATATGGTTCATGTCCAATATAAACCAATGTCCAGACCGCTACAATGGTACCGTAAGTAAGTAATGTAAAGTTAAGAAATATTTTGTTTATGGATCACAGACTATATTTTTATGCTGAAAATATAATAGTGTCTCGAAGAAAGTTGGTCAGTTTGATAAATAACTTTAAAATTTCCGTAATATACGGTTTCAGAGAAAAATTCGTGCATGACGCAAGCTTGTTCATATTTTCTAACTATGTACTTACATAATATTGTATAATTTTTCAGATGGTTCATAATAATGATCAAATAGAATTTAAATGTCAGCATGGACCTAAAGAGTGTTATGGCAATAAATTACATGCGTGCACTTTAAATTTATTAAATAATGCGACCACTGCCTTGCTCTTTAATATATGTATGATGGACCTTGATGACACATCTGGTGGATCGAATGACCCAGCTGCTGACGCGGTACGTTGATAATATATTCATACTTACTAGCTCTTAGCCCTGACTTCACCTACTTTTTCTGATTATAGATATCCTATATAATATATCTGATCGTGATACAATTTAACTTCGCGACTTTCATTAGGATCTATTTAATCTTTCAGATCTTACATACTTATGATTTTACATAACAGAAAGACAAACGGATTAAAATATTAGTATGGATATGGAGAATAGTATAGATCAGAAATATGTATAAAATTAAAGCATCTATCTTTATAAATGACCGTTAGTATATTGGTTTGTCGCTTATTAAAGTATTCAATGTTCAGATTCTATTTTCTACAGGTTATATAATATAGTATCTATAATTCTTTCTATTTATTTTATTTGATATTTAACTATAAAACATAAAATATAATATTATTATAATGAATCATTTCAGTGCGGAATTAAATTGAAAATTGACGCAGAACCAATAAAGGATTGTGCTAAAAGTGAAAAGGGAAATGAGCTCCTCGAATCATATGGAATAGAAAGTGAAAAAATCCACTATGAATATGTTCCCTATGTGTTAATTAATGGAGATGAATGGACCGGAGATAATTTTATGAAGGACGTATGTGCTGCTTTCTCAATTCCACCACCACCATGTGCAGGAGAAAAAAATAAGTAAATGTGTGAAAATATATAAACATAAATTTGTGTTAAATATAAATGTGTAAGATTGATCTCCTTTTAAACAATATTTTTTGAAATTACAAAATCTAGAGTATGAAGAGAGCATGATTATTTTATGACTTCATATGTTTAGGGCAGCGGTCTTCAACGTTTGACAAATCAAAGGCTAAAAATATTTTTTTCTGCATAGCGGGCCGCATCTTGGCTATTTTTATAAGGATTTTTTTATTTTTTTATTATACTAGCATATGCCCATGCTGTTGGCGGGCCGCAGGAGACACATCGGAGGGCCGCACTCTCAATAACGACAACAATTAAATAATAAAAAGTACCTTTAAAATAATATAAAAAAAATCCTTACAAAAATAGCCAAGATGCGACCCGCTATGCAGTAAAAAAAATTCTGCATAGCGGCTCGCGGGCCGCTGGTTGAAGACCCTAGGTTTAGGGCATAATATTCAGAAACCCCTGCACCTATTTGATCAAATGCTATCTCCAATTAAAAGGTAAATACTTAATTCTAAATCATGGTACACAATGGCCAGAGCATCAGTAGACGATAAGAGGATGTACATGAAGTTTAGTCGATTATTCCATTCAATTATCCACGAAGGTTTTAAGAAATGTCTGTGGAGATGGACCTGACATGTGTACAGTTAGCAATGGTGTTACTAATCTTTATTACAAACAATCGCCACTCTGAAATATCTTTTACCTAAAAATTTTAAACCCTGCTGATGGCGGGGATTCTTATAGTACTTACAAAATAATTTAACATAAAGCTAAAACTAAAACAGAGGATTAACATAGCACACGGGTGGTTCTAGGCTTAGGTGAGTAACTAGTTGTTTGTAGAGAGTAGCTATACCGATTTGGCTGATTTAGTTATAAATACTTGTAGAATGGAACGGATCGTCAAACTGTCAACGGAAGATTCTAAAATAAAATCAAAATATGAACATATCACAAGGAAAATTATAAAAGCAATGATATAATTTTCCCTTAAAATTGTTCGTACCAAAATGTTATTTAATGTGCCTTCAGAAATTAAAAATGTCTAATATTAATTCTGAGCCAGAATTAAATAGTAGTCAACTTTTTCTGACACAACATTTAATTATGAGGAGGTACGACATTCCGTCAGTCACTAGTAGTAATAAATTACTATAATTGGACTAAAATTCAATGAGAATATTTTGTATACAAAAGTCTACTAAACTTTGTAAGTTAAAGTTTAGTAGACTTTTGTATAGTATAAACTACGTTATTGGCCTATATACAAAACTAGCTACTACGCCCCAGCTTCGTACGGGTATACATGTATTATATATATGAACCTTCCTCTAGAATCACTCTATTTATTAAAAAAACCGCTTCAAAATCCGTTGCGTAGGTTTAAAGTTTAAGTAAACATAGAGGGACAGACAGCGACAGCAACTTTATTTCATACTATGTAAAAATGATGATGATTTAGCAAACACGCCTTCTGTATAGTTCGCGGCAAATGGTTTAAATGAAACTATAGACAATAAACATTGGGCAGTAAAACGTTCGGTAAATAAAATATCTTACGGCCAATAAAGAAGCCACTGATATATATATGCCATATCAACACAGCCTCTGCAAAAATATATTTTCGGAATTTTTTACTATTATTAGAAATACAATGTTAAGGAATGGACGTAGAAAAATCATTCCGAGTGTGTTTAAGGAGGAAAATATAAAGCCATACCTAAGTGTGTCGTAAAAGTATATGTAAAATTCTAGAACTTTTAATTGAATTCCTTATTATCACCCCACTGTAGTCCACTGCTTCAACCTTTCTCTTACAGCAACCCTACGTATGTCGTCGCTCCACCTGGCTGCGGGGTGTCCTACATTACATTTGCCAATTTGCGGGCTCGACTCTAGTACACGTCTACTCCAGCGACCATTGGTTCTGTGACATATATGACCAGCTCACTGCCACTTCAACTTGCAAATACGAAAAGCTATGACGATGACCTTAGTTCATTCATTTTAAGTTGAAATTAAATAAACACCTCCCATAGTAGTATGAAATTAAACTTTAGGATAATATAGTAGATTGTTTTGGTTAAAACAGAAAAAATATATTATTATTTAAAATATTAGACTTATTTTAATCATAGCGTAACAATACAACAAAAGTCAAACGAAAAATTACACGATTTCTTTTGCATAATAGACAATTTATATAATTGCATATCAGGAAGAAATTAAGTTGTACAAGTAGCATACCAGTAAAGATATATACGAGTAAATAAGTAAATAAAATGTTCCAAATATTGTGTGGCATACAGTAGATTCGTACTTTTTAAGAGTTGACACTGCTTTTAAAACCACGATTCTTTTAAAATTAGTCAATGCTAAAATCGTTGTGATTGTTTTGGTGTAAACTTCCGTACAGTAAAAAAGTAGTAAATATATGCTCTGTACTCAGATGCCCTGAAGAAGTACAGATAAGAAACTACACTTTACTATATAGTAAAGTGTAGTTTCTTATCTGTACTTCTTAAATTTAAAATGTTCATTGGTTAGGTATATACCTAATCAATGAACATTTTAAATTTTAGATAATGTATATTGACAAAAGTTGATTAGCGTCTATAACATTATAACATAATTAAAGTAGATATATAAATTTACGCCAATGCTGTTTCGTCTGCATCTTCCCCATATCAAACAAATAGATAAAATAGAAACGGAGCAGCAATGAGAAGTATTTGCAGCTCTGCTCTTATTTTAATTGACAATTTTTCATATAATTACACCAATTTACTCAACAGCATTTTTAATTCAACTTATATTTTATTTTGATGTATAATACCTATGAGCTATATTAATTTAAAGTTTCCTTAAAATCCGTTCACAAACATCCGTACATACTCACAAATTTACAAACTTTCGCGTTATTGGTAAGTACCTCAGGTGCCACATATCTACCCAAAGTGTATTATTTACTATTTATTAGCACATTTGTAAAACAAAAGAAAGGAAACCAAATACAATTACAATTACCACACAATACAATTTAGTATAGAAAATAGAAAATCATTTATTCAAATAAACTTAATTTAAGCACTTTTGAATAGTCAACATTTTTTTAAATCTACCGCTTATTCGGAAAGCTGTCTCATCACAAGCAGAATAAGCAAGAAACTTGTGTGTTGCTCTTTTAAACAATCGTTGTAAGTTCACATTTTACAAGTCGAAACGTGTGAATACAAACTACCAACCAGCACTAATTTATTTAGGCTCAAATATAAAAACACAATAAGATTAGTCAGTCAGTTAGATCAGTCGTAGTGATAAGAGCAGACCAGTCCCTACAAGCAGCACTCGTTCACGAGTATGACGGATGAGCCATCACTGCGCTTGACCATATTTTAGGGAGCCCAATGACCCGGCCCACCACGCCGCCACATGTCTGGACATTTTAGTGAGCATGACTACTCATTCCACTCGACCACGTCACAGCTACAAAAATTACTATATGGTAGTTACAGTATTCGCACTTTATATGAGGATGTATGCGGCAATCAATATAAAAGCCGCTACCCTATCATATATCAAGAAAGCAGTATGAAAAGTAAATTATAACGTTGTCCGCAAATAATCTTATACTTGGTATATATTGCTATAAATTCATTTATCCTATAATAGGTTTTTTTACATAACATTTGTTTAATATAAAGTTTGAATTGCCTCTCTGTCAGATTTAGCGTAGATTCTGGCAGTTTATTATAGAATCTTACGCAATTACCATAAAATGAATTACTAACTTAGTGTAGACGGCATTTAGGTAAAATTAACTTATTTTTATTGCGTAAGTTTCTACTTGTACAGTCTTTAAATTTCTTGAAACTATCTAAGTTTTTCCTTGTATACATAATATTTTCATAAATGTACTGTGAGGCAACGGTGAGGATATTTGATTGTTTAAAGCATTACGTCAATGCATTACTCTCTAGAACCCATACCATAAATAGAACTCTTTTGTAAAATAAATATAGTATTTACATCGGCAGCTTTACCCCACAGCAGTATGCCATATGACATAATGCTATGGAAATAACTAAAATATACAAGTTTTGCCGTCGCCACGTCTGTTAATTGCCTTATCCTTCTAATTGCATAAGCAGCAGAACTAAGTCTACTGGCTAATTTTGAAATATGGGGCCCCATTGTAACTTCCACTGTTATTCCTAAAAAAACTGTATCATTAACAAAATTTACTATTTCATCATCAGCTGCGTATTTACTTGTCTTACATAAGGAAGCGTGAATTTAATACACTTAGTTTTGTTGGAGTTTAATAATAGATTATTACATGTGAACCAATTTAATATAGCAGAGATAACATAATTTACATCGTCTAAATTATTACATTGGCGACCAATTTTAAACACTAACGAAGTATCATCCGCAAATAACACTATATCTGCAACTTTCTCTACCATGTAGGGAAGGTCATTTATATAAATTAAAAAGAGAAATGGCCCTAAGATTGAACCTTGAGGAACGCCCATTTTTATATTAGTTCCCTTAGACTTTACAACATCAGTTTGCACCCTATCCTCTAGATAAGTTTTCATTAGACTTAGGTCATTATCTCTAATACCATAATGTTCGAGCTTATACAAAAGTGTTTTATGATCTACGCAATCAAACGCCTTCGATAAATCACAAAAAACGCCGAGAGCATCCTGTGAGTTCTCCCATGATTTGAATATATGTGTAATAAGCGCTACACCTGCATCAGTAGTAGACTTTTAAATATTCCATTGTTATATCAATCTTTATTTGCCTATCATCATAAGTTAACTTATAGAAGTTACTGGGTACCAAAAGAACATTTCCATTTTTATTTATTACACAAAATAAATTTTTGTTTGTTATTTTATTTAATTTGTCTATAGGTATAATTGTTGGAATGTTGAATGAAGAAAAGTCCTATTATTACAATAAATCAATAGGTACATTAAGATAAATACATATGATAACGAGGTTAATAAACCTATTTATTTTATTATATTATTTTTTATAATGAGTTATTAATAATCATAATGTAGACAGGCATGTAATAAAATATAACAAAGTAAACTAGATATCACCCGCGACGTCGCTCGTCTACTTCCTTTTTCATAACCTATTTCACACCTCTACATATTATTTTTTTGATGAAAGACATTTTGCGACTTTTTTTTTTTGCATTACATATTATTAAATTTATAGTAGTAGTTAGGATTTCTAATAACAAATTTAACCTATGCTCCGGTAGTTTTTTAATTAATTTGTTACGCACATACAGAAATACAAATTTTTCCTTTTCATAATATTAGTATAAATCTTATGATTTTTATTATCAAATGGTCAAAGGTTATGGGAACAGTAATTTGTTACCAAGTCTACATTATGATCTGCAAAAGTTTTAGCTTCAGTTAGATATTGAGTGTGCAACAATGAATTATTACAATTTGCTGTTTTTAAAATTATTATTTTTTTGTCTCATAAAAGAATATCATGCAGATACGTCAAATGGTAAATACAGTCATAATTTTTATTCAATCAAGTACTACGCCGTGATTAGTGTACCTATATTATTGAAAGCTTCTACCACATCTTAATACACTAAAAATAAGTAATAAATTCTGAAATGGTAAATACTACCTTAAACTTAAACCACCGTAAACCTTATTATTTAAATTAAATGAATGCCTACAATATATGAACTTTTTTTGTCTCTATTCAGGTAGTAGGCATGATATTAACACACAAGAGACTGGAAAACAGGTCAGTTAAAAGATAACTAATAAATTCTGAAATGGTAAATACTACGAAACTTAAACCACCGTAAACCTTATTATTTAAATTAAATGAAATATATGAACTTTTTTAACAGATCTAAGAGCGCTTACAATGCCCTGAGTTGATAGATACATTTTTATTAAACATATGGTATATTTCAATGAATTATTACAATTTGCTGTTTTTAAAATTATTATTTTTTTGTCTCATAAAAGTCTCTATTCAGGTAGTAGGCATGATATTAACACACAAGAGACTGGAAAACAGGTCAGTTAAAAGATAACTATAATATTTTTTTTTATACTGTAAATTGTTTTCTCAGTAATAAATATATTTATTTTATATTTTAACAATAATAAAAAATATGGTAAATTATAAAAACATCTAAAAATGGCAAAATTTGTAATGAAGTTACTATATTAATCGTATTTTTTTTTAATAAACATGATATAATAATTATGCTTGAATTAATATGTTTTCAAAATAGTTTAGATGTTTATATTTTTTCAAACAGTTAATTTGGAAATTGAAAATGAGAACAATAGCATATTGATAGTGTTGGTAGTAGTAGCACGTAGAATTACATTGTTACTAACAGATCTAAGAGCGCTTACAATGCCCTGAGTTGATAGATACATTTCTTATTAAACATATGGTATATTTCAGTTTAGTAGTAGTATATTTCAGTATAATATAAAACAATTCTACAATATTTTCACAAGTTATTATTTCATGTACAATGAACCAGAATTAAACCACTCACTATTCCTCTTTATGTTTGTATTATCACTTTTATGAAAATGGAACCAAAATTGTGTTGTACAGTTTCACAAAAAAATGTTTTGTTTTAATTGAACCGGGTTTCCATATGCCACAAAATATTCAAAATGAATCTAAGCAAACAATTGCTTGTAAAACTACCGTGCGTAAAAAAATATTACACAAATTCATAAAAAGTATCTTGTTAGTTGTTAGTGACAATTTTGTTTTTGGTTTGTTGTTCTGGTAAATTGTGTTTTAGTGATACAAGTAGCAAGCCTGATCAAATACATTCTTTACACTTACTTATATGGGTCAGTATTTGAACCACAATCTGTATATACGGATACTTTTTTTTAAGTTCACTGCCAGTAATCCATGACAGCGTTAACCATATAACTGTTTTTTTTTCAGGATAATTCCACTGTCAGTATAGAGAAGATTACTATCAAAGTATACTATGAGACTCATTGTCCGGCCAGCGTGACTTTCTTTACGGCGCAACTCCAGCCAGTCGTAAAGAAATTAGGCTCATACTTGGATGTGCATTTGATTCCATATGGACATGCCACGGTTAGATAACGTTTTTAAGTTTAATAATAATAATACAATTATGCAGAGAGACATGTAACTATCATTTTTACCTGGTGAATCATTATTTTGCATTGCATATTTACTATTGAGAAAAATGGGAATAAAAATGTCGCAGGAGGCAAATGATGCCTGCCGACTCTCAGTCGTCATTGTTTTGACATTTCAAATTATTAATTACATAATTTACTGGTAATCTGGATATCGTAGACACATTACAATCTTTGTCTGCACCACTCATGGCTGACTGGTAGATCACGCCGCAAGGTGTTAAGTCTGCCATATGTACACATTACTTTTGTGCATTGAAATTAAATAAATATATGAAGATATCTAATCATTTTCTGTCACAGACTCGTGAAGTACTCGGGAGATACTTGTTCAAATGTCAACATGGACCAAAGGAGTGTAATGGTAATAAGTTACACGCATGTGCAGTAGACGCACTGCAAAACAACACTAAGGCAGTTGTGTTCAATAGCTGTCTTATGCAGTTTTCTAGACATACATATGAAACTGATACCGCTTTTGTATTAATCAAGGTAAGCATCGTTTATATTATAGTTGGACCTTACTTTAAAAACAAATTTTCATATGTGTACATGTATACTATCACAATTATTGCTATGAACTATTATTCTGTATCATATTTGGTACTGAATTACACAGTTCCTCAGAATTAGAATATATTTTTTTTTTACATATATAGAAATATATAGATTCATTAAGGTTAAGGTTTTTATTCCTTCAGTAAATTATCACAAGAATTTTGCAAGAAGAATAGAACAATAAACCCTATCGACTGTTTAAATAATATCAAATTTGAATAGAATTTGTCCATAATACATATTTGCTATAGCTAGCATATACAAAAGACAGACTTCAGCTGCAAAACAGTTTTTTTGTAAGGTTTGTTTCGGTTGGACTGTAAGAAATGGCAGAGAAATTACAAGTTACGGTAGCTTTATATTATCTTAGTCTTCCGGAACATGTAACTCATGGGGGCACTACTCCCGTCACATGTTGTCGTAATATCAATGGCAATATTTGTGTATAGACAACGATTGTCATTTGCCATACTATAATAATTGAACCGCCAGCTTAATTGCCATTCCAGATTGATAATAAATATGTATCTATATAATGAGTTGAAATTTCGGATACGCTACAAAGTCTCTAGTACCCTATAGTACCCGACTGACCTAGCTCAAGCTTTTGCCTATTACTGTTACATATCATCTGTCTTTATTTTTTAACTACAACAAAATTTTTACATAATACATTATAGAGCGACTATCTATATATATAACTCAAAGATGACTGACATAGTTATCTATCAACGCACAGCCCATCTACAAGAATATGTATTGTACATCACATCTACAAGAATATTGTATTTTCGCTTACAGTGTGGGAAAAATTTAAATTTGTCAGTTAATGGCATATGGAGGTGCATGGATAGCGAACGCTCGTCTCGTCTACTGAAAAGCTATGGGGATGAAACTCATTCACTAAGGCTGCGCTACGTACCTTACATACTAATGGACTATTCTACAACTGGTCAATTCGAATTAGTTGATGATCTCATGACCACAGTATGCCGAATTCTACAGCCAACGCCACCGTCTTGCATTATATTTTAGCTGTACCTAAACAAAATAGAGTAAATATTTCAAAATAAAAATAGTATACATAAGAATAAATTGTATCATCTATTTCTATAGTTTAAAAAATAAATAAGACAGAGATCTAAATGCAATGTAACGGAACTCTAAACGTAAACAAAAACAAGGGTCCAGTAGCAATTTATTATTATATTATTCTTCATTTTTCGACACAGGTCAATTTGTCTGTTTTTGATTGATTGATGATGATTCATGTTTGAAGTTTATATCTACCTATTACTTATTAATTAATAAGAGTTTACTATTAAGATATAATATTATATGTTGCTATCCATGTGATGTATATAAGCTATCAGTTTATTTGCTATTCCCAACTAATATGTAAAATACAAATCTAAAAAACAATGTCAAAATAGCTAATCATTTCAGGGTACCTGCCGCATTGTTCTTAATTTATTTTAGTATATGTTTTGTTACATTGGTAAGCCGATTTAAAGCAAGAATCCATTTATATGTAAATATATAATAGTAATACGATGACGCTGAAACCCCAACTATTGTTCTGAGGGTATCCATAAGCTCAGCAGTTGTGTTCAGGGGAACGCTATCCACCTGAACACTTCCCACGGGACGCTACGAACACTTTCTACAAACTGTGTAGATATTGGACGTATAATATCTTGTCGGATATATTTTCAGACCCTTAAGTTATATAGTTGTTATGTATTTGAATTCCGAATTTATATATAGTTAATACTTAGTACGATTGTTTTATTTGTGTATGCCTACAGATTCGAATTTATATTTGTGTCTGATAATATAATATATGAGACGTTCGTTTTAATGAAACTGATCGAAAGAAATGAAAAAAATCATCACGTATCATCATCAACATCATCATCTACTTCTACATATCCCATTTACTTGGGGTTGGCGTGATATGTTTTTCTCTTCCATTCATACCAGTTCGTAGTCATCTCGTTATTTACCTCCTTCTTACCATATCATCTTTCACACAGTCCATCCATCTGTTTTTCGGCCTTCCTCTGCCTCTTATATCCACATTCATAAGTAATACCTTCCTTAAAATATTGCGATCGAAAAACATATGTACAAAAATATATTATATACTATATATACAAATGTGTAATATACATCTGCATTCTGCTACTTTGTACCTGTTTAACTTTTATGTCTTCTTGTTTGTAAAGCTATTGAAATAAAAGATAAAATTGTATTTTATCTCTATATAACTTTCGTGTACCACAGCGATCTGTTACATTTTTTTATATGTATCAATAGATTAATCTGAATCTGTGTTGAACAATAAATAAATATCCATAATGGAGATACGATACCCATTACATATGACTCTGTATGATATCATGTATTTTAAATGTCAATGGATAGACGCGCCTAAATTTTTTAATTAGCTATTACGTTTCATTGAATCAGTAATATCGCTACAAGGCAGGCGAGTACAGTGTCAAGATTAGATTGCTAAGGTGAATGCATTGCACGAAAAATATTACTACAAGTACTAGCCTATTATTACTCTTTATTGTACTGTTAGCATTATATTTCAACCATTACAAATACGAGAAAATTATTAAAACCAATTCTATTGCTTAATGATAAAACGAAAAATGGGAGTAGATATATAAACAAATAAAGGTACCTAAGTATTAATAATTAGGATCTGCTATTATAATTCTAATTTAAATGTTTCTATGACTCATTAAATAGCTATTGCATTCACATAGATAAAAAGCAAAAATAAAATATGGTTGCACAATATTAAAGTATTAAAAGGAATGTTACTCAATAAATGGATACACAGAAAGTCAGTTAGTGTTAATGAATAAAAGAATATGAAATAAGGTCCGAGAGAGGTGGAGGTATGCAGCGTTTGTGCATCGATGAATCATACAACAAATATTTTAAATATTCGATTCTTATGACTAAGACTGTTACTGTAGACATATACTGTAAAAAAGTTACATTTAAAACATGAGACGATAAAATTTATAATCGAAAAGCTTGTAAATTATAACAATGTTTCATTCTGGTACTAATAATAAAGAGTAATTAATAAAGTTTCATTGTCATTGGAGTTTATAAAAAATATATTAATCAAAGGAATGGTTTACTTTAACTTTATGCTAAAGTTGATTGCGTCATCGCGGAGGGATCAAACTAATTAATACTCAGAACATTGCCTAAACACCGTCCAAGTGAAACGATTATTTCTGGGAGAAACTTTATTGGTATTAAAATTTAATTGTATCAGATAGAGATTTTGTACCTTTAAACCCAATATGGAAAGTATGCTACTGTCTACGACTGCTTCCATATACATAAAAAAAGGGAAGAAAAAAAAGCTTGTGTCTACTCTATATTGTGTTTATATTTGTAATAAAAAAATAATCTGTAAACTAACTACGCATTATGTCTTTTCCAATATATACGTTTTAAAAAAAGGGATTTTGAAAGCCTGTGTATGTGTGTGTGTATGTTTTAGTGTTTACATTTATTATTATCAAAAGACTATACTATAATAAATACTTTTATAAATATGATAAATACCTTTATACTGTCGGTACGGAATCAAAATATTTGGTTTGATTTAGAACTCCTATTATAATTAGCTAATCTCACTGGAAAGGCTTTATGATTGATACGACCAATAAACAATAAAACTATTTATTCTAGGGGCAACAGTCCCGTACAGTTCTTCAACTCGGCTATCAAGTATTAAACCAGATATAATTTTTCTTAAACAGAATTATAAAAAAAATTTAATCGAATATAATATTTAAGTGTGCCACAACTTTTAATAACAAGTAGGTATATGAGGATTTCTGTATTTTACGTACATTTTAAAGCATTGGAAAAATTTGAAAGGCTTTCTGTTTTGCATGGAGCTCGTATAACCGTAGACTTTGACAGGCCATCCGTAAATAAAAATACAACGTAAGCACCTACCTACTTATTAAGAGTACACCACATAAATTTCAGGTAAACTGATTTTAAAGTACTTTGTACGTTTTACAACGCTTATTTTTTAATCTTATTACCCGATCTAGAAATAGAGGTAGTTACGCGTATCCTATATTTGTAGAAGCCATTTATTTTTAATGATAATAATAATAATAATAATAATCTTTATTTGTCTCAAACAAAAACTTTTTACACAATACAACTATTGCCCATAGAATAATATAATTTAAAACTAATGAATGAGACAAAACGGTCTATAACTCAGTGAGGGCAGTGAGTCCACCCTCTCTGCTATTCTGTTATAGTCTTTATCAGTAAAATACAATGTGAGATCGACGACGACGATAGCATATTAAGTTAAGTTTTAAACTACAACTAACTACTACTAATCGCAATATAACAATAAATAAAAAACATTACGCACATTATTTATGATATTATTTATTTTATTAATGAAATAGTGGGTGGCATATTGAAAATATAACAATAATTATCCTGTTTTCGCCTACGAGATTTATTTTTATTAACCATGTAGTACCCTCAGTACGACTAGCCATATATATTAAGCGTAGTAGGGGTAAAAGAAAAAAGTGGGGAGAGCTCTCCCCTCCACTCTACTTCGCTACAGTATCGTTGAGCAACCTCATTCCTTTGTGCGCAATCGCCAAGACCGCACGCAATCACGAATATATTTAGAGTCTAAAAAAAAAAAAAGAGCAAAATGCCTAAGCGATCCCACGAAGAAAAAGAAGAACATTGGCGTCGAAAATTGAAGAAATACGAAGCCAAACTTCAGGGAACGTCTGCTGTTTATAGAAATGACGAAGAAGTTATGGAAGGTTAGTGATTTTACTTTAGTCCAATGGGTGTTAAGAATCACTATAAAATTTTTTTTTTTTGCTCCGAGTTAACACGTGAGGTTAACCTGTAGCCTTTTTTGCTCCGAGTTAACACGTGAGGTTAACCTGTAGCCAATTTTGCTCCGAGTTAACACGTGAGGTTAACCTGTAGCCATTTTGCTCCGAGTTAACACGTGAGGTTAACCTGTAAGCATTCATTACTCAGAGTTAACAAGTGAGGTTAACCAATAGTGCCTTTTGTTTTTTCTCCTTAATGTTAATGTGAGATATTAACAGAAAGCTTTTTCTTTTCTAAATTATAATTTTATATTTACTTACCCACAAGTTATATATATATTTATCATACATTTACTAATAATACATTCTCTCGTTATCAGAAAAACGAGATACGGAACCGGAAGACGAGTGGTATCCGTCTTACGAAGAAACCTCGGATACCTTCAATCTTGGTACGCAAGACGTAAACGAGGTTACCCTCGCCGAGAGGGCTCCAGCCGCGGATTGTATAGCCACCGCGTCCCCCGAAGCGATAGTTCAGACTGTAACACCCAGCGTCGCAGAGGCAGCAGATACTGGTGCTGCCACAACCCTAAACATCGATCCTGATCTCATTGAAGCTCTGGGAAGTTTTGAAGAGAAGGAGGCTGATTGGGGCGAACCCATAGTCGACCACATTGCTATGCGACTCAATCCTTTATTAATAAATGGATTAAAAAAGTAAGACAAGGAGACACTATTAAAGAAATTTCCTTTCCCTAAAAACGTCCCGCTTGCTAAACCCCCAACTTTAAATGTAAATAAGCACCATGCTAAGTGACCAGAACCGCAATAGGGACAAACGTATTTACACTAAGCAAACCCAATTAGGAGCTGTGATAAGTGGAATTACTAAGGCAATGTCACTTTTATTATGTAAGGACCCCAAAATAGTCGAGACTTTGAGTACTTTATCCGACACCAGTAAAATATTAGCAGATTCCCACTATCTCGAAACTGACACCCGACGATCTCTAGTCCTACCTTTAGTGGATAAAGATCTTGTAAACTCATTTCAAGACCGTAAACGAGATGAATTTTTATTCTGGAACAATATAGGAGCGGTTGTAAAAAATAGTAGAGGTATCAAAAAAACTAGTCTGTTTATTCAGGCACCTACAAATAATTTAAACTCCAG